TCTCTCCCTCTCTCTCAGACCCCAGCTTGAACCCATGTATCACACAGCGAGCCATCACAATACAGTCAAATGGGCACATGGGCAGTTATTGTTTGTTTGCACTATTTATGTCAATGTACAGACTGCGGCAAATTGCACCATAATGCAATCATTCAGTCTTGCCATCCTGCGCTCCCGTCCATTAGGCTAATGATATTCTGTAACCGTCCCGGGTTCCCTGGCTGTTGAAATCATGAATGTGAGAAGTAGGAGAAAGTAGGAAGAACGCTGCTTAATTGAAGGGGCCATGATCAAATTCCAGTGTCTGGAAGCATCTGTCCTGTAGTGCCCTTGAGCAACAGACACATTTCCCAGCAGCTCCAAAGAGGCTGTTCTTATGATCTGACCAACATATGGAGTGAGGAAAGTGGATGGCAACAGGAGATCAATAAAGTATCAAAAACGAGGTCTGATGCTGTCCCTGTTCCTTATCATTTCAAAGCACAGATGCAACTTCAGTGACATTAACTCTCCATTTAAAGACCACAGAATCTCTGCAAACAGTCCGTCTGAAAATAACCTCACCAGTCACAACAGCAGCAAAACAAGGTATATTTGTACGGCAACAGAAAACAGGGCACAGAGGTGTTTTTGTCAGTTTACAAAAGACAGCAAGAGTCTGTGAGGCTGCAGTTAGGCATAGCAACATAGCATGCTTACAATGACAATGCTAACATGCTGATGTTTATCAGGTTCAATGTGTACCATGTTTACCATCTTAGTTTAGGGTGTTGCTAACGTTTGCTAATTAGCACTAAACAAAGCACAGTTGAGGCTGATAGGGATGTCATTAGTTTTGAAGGGGTTTGGTCATGAAACAAAGTATTCGACAAATCTGACCTGATGGTGGTGCGAGAGGGAATATGAGGGGAGTACCAAAATTGTGAGGATTCATCATCTGGGTACCATGAATGTCTATGCAGAATTCAATGCCATTCTATCCAATAGGTCATATGTTTCTGACTGGAACAAAATGGTGGACTAACCAACCAACAAACCGACGAACCAGCCCAATTGGCAGAATGAAAGCATTTTATGTTTCTGCAAATCTGTTTTGGATGTGTAACATTTTACATTTCAAAAGTAGCAGACATGCTGACAGTTTGTTTCTTAACACTTCAACAGCGCTGTGGTTAATGTATGGTTATATTTAGACACTGGTTAGGTTCGGGAAAAGGTCATGTTTGGGCTTAAAATACTTGGTTTTGTCGCTAAAATCGCGGCTGGAAATGCAATGACGTTTTTCTAAAAAAACACCCAGTTCCTGTTGTTCGTTTGCAGCCATCTTGCCTAGGTTTCACACCATCCACCATCCCCTCCATCGTCTGCTAACACATTTAGCTCATACATGTAATTATAAGTATGTAAATTTAGAGACGTTAATATAATATGTATGAAAAGTACAAATGTTACATATTCATGGCTTGCAGAAATGTACAGTGTCAACATTTTCTTCTTCTGGCCTGAACCGACCATCCAACGTTGCCATCCATAGAGCCATGCACCTAGCTTGGCTAATACTGATGCGTTCTTATGACTCACACTTTGCAATGTAACCTTACCATTTGGCTGCTGAGATCTGAATGTAGTGGTGGTGTTAAAGGAGTAAATGTTGCAGAGTTTCCATGGCTGACATACAACCTGGAACTGGAAAACAATGACCACAGTGTGTTGAATCGCTTTGATTTCAGCTCTTCTGATTCTCCCCTCTGATACATAAATAGCATCAAGTCAAGGCGATGTCCTGTCAAATTAATTACTCATTATCACCATATATCCTTTTAATCCTTATTTTGTGGGCACCATTACAGCTGAAATGCCAGTGTTATCCCGAAGCATTACAGATAATTTTGTAATGGAACTTGCCTCTGTTTGGACTGTCAAACATTTCAGCCCAAATCGTCCTGACTAAAGTGCATTAAAATGCACGGACAGTCAAGCTATAATTACTGGGCAAAAATACCCCATGCCTTAATCCACATGGTAATAACGCAATTAAAGTGGTGTTTCTTGGACTTGGTAATCTTCTGTGACAAGGCTTACAATTCAATTAACCCCGTTTTAACACTTTGTTTCAACTTCCTGTGAGGCTAATTTGCTTTAAACTTACTTCAGTTGCTATAATTATGCCTCAAGAAATGCCCAATTTATGAATTATCAGTTGTTTATGTCAGTGCGGCACTGATTTCCAGTGGATGGGATCTGCTTTTATCCAGCGGGACGCCTGAAAGGGAATTTCTAAAGTCTGACTCCTAACAGAATGATAGCTTTGTCATTTATTATAATGTAGGGCTGGCTTTATTGATCGCTACTGATGTGTTAGACTTGTTGCACTCATACAAAGTGAACAGAACTGCTCCGCAGCTGAATATGGAAAACAATGCTCCATCACCTCTAAAATCAAACTTCAATATTTTCAGGATTAGAAATAGTCTCTTATTCTTTTTTCTCTGCTCTGTAAAGTGTGATGCATCCATGATGATAGAGTTTCAGCCTGATACAATTTCTGATAATCTCATAGTAGAACCAGAGCTGCACTCCTCCTGACATCTACCAAAGCCAGCCACGGATCTAACCCATTTAATCACTCCTTTCTTGTTCTCTTTCTAAGCTCATGCTGGCTGTGACATATTGAGCCGGCAAACTTTCCATGTTCTCTCAGAGAAGGTCATTGGGCCAGGCCCAATCTAGCCTCTGAAACCGAGCCAAGATTTCCACTGCTGTCGTTCAGATTAGTATTAGACGTGAGCGCCTTTCCTAAGCAAATCAGACAGTGTGAAGGACAGAACCGTTCTTCCATTCAAGCACGCCTGCTTCTTGTTAAAGAGAGACAGGGCAATAAGTTGTAGGACAAAGGAAAGTTTGTGGGAAGTCTTCGCATTTCATGAATGCTTATTTTTAAATGTGACAAGCCAGTTCGCCATGTTAGATTAGAAGCAATTGTATTGCACTGACTGGGACTATAGGAGCTGTCCATGGACATAATGTATGTCAGTCTGTGAAAAGTGGCAATACATAGGCAATAGTCTTATAGCTGTGAGTAATTTGTCTTGTGAAGAAGTGTGTTTATGATTCATAAGAGGGTTGCTAGCATTTAATTTAAGGACAATTTCATAGCAAAGCATGTGGCAGTAATTATAATATATATTATTATGATATGCAATGCTATGGTACGACAGGCAACAAAGCACAGCGTTGTCCGTAATAATCATTAGCAAATTTAATCATAAGTAACCACAACAAATTGCCATTATTCTTTGAAGTGTTTCAAGTGTTACACTGTTGATTATGTGGCTACCATCAGTGTGGGCTACTGTCTGTCTAATTCAATACTTTCAAATGTATTAAAAATGAAAAACTAAACTGTAGTATGAGTGTGACGCAGGCTATATCCATAGATCATCATGCTGATGAAGTTGCTCATCTGGTGCATAAGCCAAAAAAAGTTGTTGCTGCCGGGTTAACTTCTGTGGTATGTGGCCTACTGAATATGGGCAGTAGTGTTTTCTTGTGGTGCCAGCCCGTGAGTTCTTGCTCAGCTCATAGACTTTACATTGTGATGATGTCACACATTTTTAAATCACTTTTCTCAGCTCGAGGAAAGTTTTACAAACTTAAAACCTCCATGGATCAAAAGTTCATAATAAAAAGAATCATAATTGACCTTGTTTGCAGTTAGAGGTGTCCTGTCAACAGTTTTACAGACATGTCTGTAAAATTGGAGGTCAGTGGGAAAAATGCTCTTTGGGCTGCAGGAGATCTTTGCACTGCAATACCACAAGTGGCCACTGGGAAAAAATGGCAATATCACTGTTAATTGTTATGGGGTTGTGTAAAGTGTATGACAATGACCATTTTATGATGTTAAGCTAAATTCTTGTCAGAACATTAGCTAGCAAACGTACCATGCACTGGCTAGCAGACAGTCCATACAATCTGAGCATATCCCACTCGCTAGCTTTGTGCAGGCATTAGGATATGTTAATGTTGCCATGATTTGTTGATGAGAAACTTATTATTGTAACATTCATTTTCAGTAACTGCTTATCCTTTTGGGGGTTGCAGGGGAGCTGGAGTCTATCCCAGCTGACATTGGAGAGGTTGCTAACATATATGGTGCGTTCGTTTTGTACTCAGAGGTCGGAAGTCGGAAGTGGGAATGACATCACCTCCGACTTGACAACAGTTTTTGCATTCTAGTTGACAACGGTGGACAAGTCGGAAAAAAACATGGACGCCCACAAGAAAGCCTTTGTTGCCCTTGCACTTTCGGAGTAGAGACAGCTTCAAAACCATCATGCACTCCAACTGATGAACGCCACAGATGAGGCTGACCTAATGTAAAACAAATAAGATAAAATTGCTATAAACAGCACTTTAGCAGAGTGTTTACTCACTATGTATGCGACCGGCAGCCATCTTGAATTTGTAAGTCGGGGTTGATGCGGTTGCTCCGAGTTTCAGATTTGGAAATCCGATCTCAGGGTGCGTTCGAGTTTAAACTTCTGACTGGGAACTGGGAATTTCCGACCTCAGAATACAAAACGAACACACCAATAGAGACAGGCACTCATTCACACTCACATTCACACCTGTGGGCAATTTAGGGGTCACCAATTAACTTAACCTGCATGTCTTTGGACTGGAAGCTGGAGTACCTGGAGAAAACATGCAAGTTCTGCACAGAAGGGCTCCCCCACCCTGGGTTTGAACCAGGAACCCTCTTGCTGTGAGGTGACATTGCTAACCACTGCACCACTTCAGCCAGGACATGCATAGAAGGGTAATGTTAACATCAAAATGTCATTTTGCACTGGAACTGTGTGTGGAAATAAGTATCAGACCCCCAGACCTGGAGACCCCCTGGCAGATTTGGTACCCCTCAATGTTGACTCTATGGCTATGGCCTTGGCAGACCATCAGTATCACTTGTTCCACTAAGTATAATGCAGGTATTTTTCTGGGTGACACTGGTGCAGCCAGGCACACACTGTATTGAATGCTGACACATGATACAGGGACAACAGGATCTAACATTCGCTGCTAAAGGACAAGGCAGGCAGGACACACAGTGTGCTGCACAGATATGTGAGGGCAGCACACTACGTCTGCACTGTGAATTCGACACTGTTTGGTATTAAAAAAAAAAAAAGATTGAAAAGAAAACGGGACATACTGTAATTCAAGAGTTTTGTTGCGAGCGTGAACAAATTTGGTGGGTGAATTGGTATTGATTCAGCTCCGTAACACTTGGAAGGACAAACTTGCACCTGGACTCAATCAACGTTGATTGGAGAGTGGCAACATGCCCACATGCACATAACACAGCTGATGGGACACACCAACCAGTTCTGCACAGGAGAAGTTAATAATCAGACTTCGCTCTTCCACACTAATGCTTTCCCTTCGTAATTTCATATCTAACTTGCAAATATCCAGAAGCTCGAATATGTCTCATCACATCAGTTGAGAGCTGAGCAGGAAGCCCCAACATGATCAAGACCTTTAAGTAAGTTGTGTTTGTGTGATTTTCCCACAGTGGGTTGCCTCACAGAGGGCTAGGTACTGTTTTGCAGATTTTTGTGGCTTAATTGGAAATCTTGTGTCAGTTATTCAAGTCCCCTGTTGTTTGTTTGGTCCCGAATTACTGCTTTCCCTGATTTCACTGAGGGGTTTAATTCAAAGTTTTGCTTTTATTTTATTCAGAAGCTTCCTCGTTTTATTTGCTCTTGCATTATCATAACCCCAGTCTGTAAATGCTGAGCAGTAAAAAGAGTAAGGACGAACATTTGCGGTGTTTCAGCAAGACACGTTAGTTGTAGCCCTGTTTGGTAAACAAGATTTGTATATTGTCACTACAAATAAATGAGATAAAGTTTGGAGCAATCTAGCATAACTTTTCCTACATAGATGGAGAAAACGCCACCTTCAACAAGCAGCCTCTCAACAGTTTTTAAACACCAATTAATCTCCCTTCTTTCCTCATTTGGTTGTTGCAGACTCTCATTTTAGATCCCTTGTCTGCAGACTTGCTGGCATGCCGACCACATGGCTCAGTTTTGGGATTATGTCAACGCCTTCAGCAGATGCTATTGCATTACATAAAGAGATACGCCATGCTGGAGAGCTTCCACTCACTCCTAATGTGTGCATTCTGGCCACAGGCAACAACTTCACATCCAGTCCTATCACTGACATGGCAACCAAGGATTCTGGGAGCCTTCCCAAAGCTGCGTTGCATCACTTGTCAAAGGTAAATTCTGACTGAGTTTCTTGAAGTTGTATTAAGTGATCAGTGACGACTGGGGGCAGAAAGAGTCCTAAACAAACTGAAAGAAACAAGCTTTGATATCACCTTATCAGGTGCTTAGGGCTATCGCGTTAACAAGAAGATGGCTTGAATGTTCTGATTACGTGTCAATTTTTTTTCAATTTTTGCGTGCTTGTACTGCAGATCCCACTGAGAATATGACAGTCAACCCACCCGTCTGCAGCTGAGTGTAGTTTTGCAGGCTTTGAGCTCCCTCATCTGATTTGCTTGTTGGTGTCCCAGAAACTCCTAAATAAGTTGGCAGGCCAAACTTTTAGAATCAGTGGATGATATGATGAGCAACACAATATTCATATGCCCATATGAACATTGAGTTACAGGTTGCTGTTATCGTTCCTCCTCACCACACTGGCTGTGAAGACATCCTAATGTGTCTTTACTGTCAGAGACTGGGGACACAATCTACAGTCCTTATTCTGCACACAGAAAATGGATTCTGAAGTTCAGCTTAAGGTAATATGATGCTTCAGCGGTCTAAATTAGAAAATTAAGTTGCTGTGTTTTTAATACAGTATTCCCTCTTTTCTCTTTTAATTTCTTGCAGAGCAGCAGAATAAGAATAGCAGCACAAAGAGGGACTCTCACTCTTCAGAAACCAGAACTTTGAAACATACCCAGCGCCCACTTAAGTTGTCTGGCTCAGACTGCTGAAGCCTCACATTCGCTGTGGATGAACTCTGGAGTGCATTTTATTTATTTTTTTTTTTGCACTTTGTCCCACATCCCCTGCTGTACATCAGAATAGTGTTCTCCAAGGCCATATAGGTACAGACAGATGGAACATTTGAAGTGACTATATGTGCATGTGAGTACTGCTTTCAGATGGACTTTTTTTTAAAAATATGAACCAGCTCTCTGTTTATAAGTATAGAAATGTTGTGTACTGGTTCACTTAGGCTACTTAAGTCATTTGCTGGACAAGGGAAAATATGCATAATTATGACTGTCACTCTTTCAAAAAACTAGTAAGAACTAACATATTTGTCAGAATTAATTTAAAGACAATCTTGGAACCCACTGGCTATTGTCTGATCATTGGGGCAGTGGCCGGTATTTCAGAGTTCCAGTGTAGCTAGTAGATATGCAGGCCAAGACTTCCTTTGTGGTATGCCGGTCATTGTTTACAGTTGGATTAGTACTGTTGGATATCTGCACATAAATGCAGATGATTTAGGAAAAAGCCAACAAAATGCTAAATCGTCAATTGCATTCGGCCAAAGCATTCTGCCTCTTTTGCTCTCCACATGGACTGTTCACCTGCAAACAACCACAGCCTGCTTAAATGTGATTGGTCAAGAGTACTTGGTAAGGCTGCACAATATATTGAAAATGAACCTTCATCGCAATTTCAGCATGTACAATATAGGTATCCCAAAAGATGGCTTGAACTGCGATAAATAGTATATTTACATGTGCCGTCATTCAGACGCTGCAGGTCATGTAGAAACAGTGGCGTCAGGTGACTTTAGGTTTACTAGTTTTGAAAGTATTACTCATGTCACAGAAACAGCTGAGTGTGAAACTTGTGTTTGGATGTTATTATCATACTGTCCGTGATGTATCGGTGTTTTTGTTCTGGTGCTCTGCAGAGATGTGACTCCTGTCTGCCGGCCCACCTGTTCCCATCCCTCTATAGCTCAGTAGCGGCAGGGAGGCACAGAGGTCCCCAGGGACCACCGGTATACAATAACCTTGTATATAAGGTTCATAAAATACACCCAAATTCAAGAATATGTCGGATATTACAGACATTCCTGTTATCTTAACATCAAAATGTCTGCTGTGACAGCAGATGCTGTTTTCACTCATGTCAGTGACGATGGAGCTTTATCGTTCAGGGGACGCACCTTGTTTTTTCCTCTGATAATGCTACACTGTGATAATGTGGATGATCGATACCGGACTGGCTCATATTGATGATGACTCGATGATGTTTTACACGTCCAGGGGATGCTCCGTGCTGAAAATAATTTCATCGTATAGATCATATCTCACGCAAGATCAGTTTTGTTGTTACTTTTTGTTTTATTCATAGTCTCGGTAAGTGAAAAGAAAACATTACATTGTTATCAGAATAAAGGAGTATCAAAATGTTTAACTAATTAATACAATAATTTTTTTAAATGCTCATTGATTATCCATAGAAATTCTTTTCTATGGGATTATCACAATCATATATCACATTCACATCTGTCTTGGGGAGAGGATTGGCTCTCTCTAAACTCAGCTCAAGATGTCACATTTGTATACTGTTCTGTACAAAGACTGTATGTGAAGATACATATACACTCTGTGGTTTTGTAAATAAAGTTTTGGGTTGGGTTTTTTTGGTTTTTTATTTAACTTTCAGATTCATTTTCAACATATGATATATGACAAACACGTTTAACAATTGATCAAAAAACACAAACTTTATTGGGGACTTACGACACTGAAAACACGGGAACTGCCCATTGGTCCAACATCCAATTGTTCCGACCATATTAAACTCATTGTTCCGAAGTCCCGTTGTTCCAAAATTATCATGATGCCCTGTGGTTAAGGTCTGGTTAGGTTTAGGCACAAAAACCACTTGGTTAGGGTCAGGAAAAGATCGTGGTGTGGGTTAAAATGAAAAAGAAAGTGACAAACACATAAGCCGTGAGCCTGCTCCGCCTCAAGCCTATCCCAGCTGACCCAGAGCCGGTCGCGGCGCACCATAAGCCCGCCATGAGCCGTTCAGCACCGCGGACAGTCGGACTAATGGGATGTCGAACCAATGGGCTGTTGGACCAATGACATGGACCCGAAAACACATCAACATCACTGATTTCCATTTATTTTAAATTCAGTGTTCATAGGTGAGTCATTGTCTGTGGTCTACATTAGCAGCACCCTGAAACAGAAAGACATTAAAGCTGTATGCTCCAATAATTGCGAGTCATATCATCATCACAATCTTCAGCAGCTTTATCACACATTGCATGTTTTCCTGATATCCTACGTCCTATAGGGCCTACTACATTGTAGATTTAAAGTTCTATTCATTTGCGGCAAGCTAGCAACAAGCTAATGTTAGCAACAAGCCATCATTAGCATAAGGCAGTTATCTTTTACAAAGTTGACAGCCTTACTTTAATCCACAATGTTTCCATTTTCCAACATGCTATCCAGCATTACTTCTCACCTGCTTTGGTGTTCTGATTATCTCCTTACAAACTCAATACCTAATTCTTCACCTGTTTAAACTATGGTTTATATTTACAACAAAAAGATGACGCATCGCTAAAATCGTGAATTCTCCAGTGCGTTGTATTTTATGACACATGTGAGCCTTTCTCTTAATAAAATCAATTGCTCTCCGGTCTGATATCCCAGTGGAGGCACAGCAGGTTGTGTGATGTGCAGAGAAGAACAGGATGCAGTGGCTATTTTTACCTGAAGCCCAGGAGTGAGCTCAACACAGAAGGTGAAGCGGGAGGAGAGTGGAATTTGGGCAACGTTTGGGAATGTGAATCGGGTAACGTTAATCATCTGGACAGCAGAGACATTAACTGTGCATGAAGCTCGGTCTCTGGACATTGCATGTACTGTTCAAATACTGACAGAGGGCGTGTGTGTGTGTGTGTGTGTGTGTGTGTGTGTGTGTGAGAGAGAGGGAGAGAGAGACAGAGAATTAGACGCAAAGAGAGGAAGGGCATGGTGTATTTCTGTCTGAGTCTAGGAGGGAGAGAGTACATACTGTAGTGTAGTTGTGTGTGTGTGTTTGTAATGTCTGTGCTGAGGTGATATACAGTGCCCTGACTTACTCTTGTAGATGAAGTGCACTTTGCTCAAAGCTACACACCCCCAAAGGAATACACTGTTTTCCAACTCACTTTTCGGGTTGGGAAAACACACTGATGAAAAAGGATGAGGCTATAGCGGCACACTCAGTCTTCGCAGCAGCCCCCCGTCACACACTAACATCATTACAATTTCAACTCCAGTGCCTTCTAACAAAACTCTGCATATTTACAATGTGTGTGTGTATCCACTATTGTCTTGTTAAAATTTTACAATGGCTGCTGAGCGCCTTCGCATACTGAATGCAATATTGTGCCTTAATATGCCCTAGTATAATGCCTACAGATTTGGAGAGTGCTGATACGGCACATTTCGCAGTGGAGGCATCTGAGTTGCACGAAAGCGAAGCGATCACCCCTGAGAGAGCGAGGGGGCTCACCTTTTGTTATTATTTTCGGAGGCGCCGATTCGTGCTGACCTACTTTGGAAGCAGGGATTGCTGAGGCACAGATCACCAATGCAAATGAAATCTGTTGCTTCCTGCCTGTTGGATTTCAAGGATTTCCAGGCGCATGATGCAACTGGGGAAAAAAATGACTACATGTCATATATACTTACTGGAGTTTCCTGGATACTGTCATCTTTTTATCTGCTATTTCTGAAGCTTATCTGGACTCATCATTATTCTGTACTTTCTGTATTGGTTGTTTTCCCTGAGAGATTATCGAATCAGTGACCTTACATCAGTTTGAATTCTTGACAACAGCCTGCTTGGTTTACCAGCAAAACCTTACATAAACCTGCTCAGCATTGCAAATGACAGTGATCACACTGTGACTTGAGTGCGACACTCCACCTGACAGGTAGCTGTCAAAAATACCTGTCAGTCTGTCAGCCGCACAGCCAAGCCACTACCATCGACTCCATGTTTTTTGTAAGGTGTTTTGGTCTCGCACACAGATGTACTGCAGCAAAGGAAGATGAGGATACAATTTCTCTCAAAATTATGTCATGTTGATGGGCAAGTGCCATCGTGTAGTGCTGGAGAGACTGTGACCAAAAACATCATTATGATAGTATTACTTCTTTTTAAAGATGCATTGCTTATATGGTTCTCTTCAGTTTAACTGTGGTCCTGGGCCAATGCTGAGACAATGGGGTCCTGGGTACAGATGTGCAAATGGGCCCACTACCTCTCCTCCAGGAGAGGCAAGACACATAGACTTCGGTGTTTTTTTTTTCTTTTTTTAAGTTGTTTAACATCTTTTTGTGGTTTTGTTTCTCTTTGTAGTTGTTTTGTGTCTCTTTGAGGTATAATTGGCTTTTTTGGTCATTATGTATCTTTTTGTAGTTCCTTTGCATCTCTTTGTTGTCATTTGATGTCTCTTTGAGGTCTTTTTGTGTCTCTTTGAGGTATATTGCATCTTTCTTGGTCAGTCTCTTTGTAGGACCTTAGCACCTCTGTGGTCATTTTGTGTCTCTTTGCTATGCCTTTGCATCTCTTGGTGGTCATTTGATGTCTCTTTGAGGTCATTTGGTGTCTCTTTGAGGTCATTTTGCGTCTCTTTGAGGTATATATTTTTTTTTGGTCATTTTGTGTCTCTTTGTAGTACCTTAGTGCACCTGTGGTCATTTTGTGTCTCTTTGCTGTTCCTTTGCATCTCTTGGAAAACATCTGATGTCTCTCTGAGGTCATTTTGTGTCACTTTGAGATCATTTTTGCATCTCTTTGAGGTATATTGTGTCTTCTTTGGTCATTTTGTGTCTCTTTGTAGTACCATAGCACCTCTGTGGTCATTTTGTGTCTCTTTGCTGTTCCTTTGCTTCTCTTGGTGGTCATTTGATATCTCTGAGAGGTGATTTTGTCTCTTTGGGGTATAATTATCCTTTTTTGGTCATTTTGTAACTCTGGAGTTCCTTTGCATCTCTTGGTGGTCATTTTGTGTCTCTCTTTAGGTCATTTTGTGCCCCTTTGTAGTCATTTTGTGCCTCTTTGTAGTTCCTTTGTATCTCTCTGTGGTCATTTTGTGTCTCTTTGAGGTCATTCTGTCCCCTTTTGGTCAATTTGTGACTCTGTGGAGTTCATTTGCATCTCTCTGTGGTTATTTTGTATCTCTTTGAAGTATATTTTGTCTTTTTAGGGCATTTTATCCCTCTTTGTAGTTCATTTGCATCTCTTTATAGTCATTTGATGTCTCTTTAAGATCATTTGTTGTCTTTTTGAAGTATAATTGTGTTCTTTTTTGGTCATTTTGTGTCTCTGTGTGGTTCCTTTTCATCTCACTGTGGTCATGTGGTGTCTCCTTGAGGTCATTTAGTGTCTTTTTGAAGTATAATTGTGTCTTTGGTCATTTTGTGTCTCTTTGAGGTGATTTTGTGTCTCTTTGGGGTATAATTGTGTCTTTGGTCTATTTGTCTCTCTGTAGTTCCACTGCACCTCTGTGTGGTCATTTGGTGTCTCTTTGAGGTATAATTGTGTCCTTTTCTGGTCATTTTGTGTCTCTTTGTAGTTCCTTTACATCTCTCTATGCTAATTTTGTGTCTCCTTGAAGCATATTTGTGTCTTTTTTGGTCATTTTGTGCCTCTTTGTAGTTCCCTGGCAGAGGTGGTTCCTGGTTGGTACATGTTAATTTAGTGAGATTTTGCAGGTGAAGGTGGGGAGTGGGCTCTGACACTTTGGGCTTCTGGGCCTAGGCCCAGTTGCCCCGTTCAATAATCCATCCTTGACTGTGGTACATTTTATGAATTTACACTAAAGTACAGTGTGCTCTGCAAAGGAAAAAGTAGGTAAAACTAAAAGTTCAAGTGGGTTTATCCCAACAGTATGTCTAACACGGACCATTTTGGCTTTAAAACCTTTTCTATCACCTTTTATATACATGCAAATGCACTTCCTTTTGAATTATTGTCAAGCTACAAGTACTTTCACATGTAGGTGCTGTCACGATCTTTTATTACACACTGTAAAAGTAGACACACAGTGAGCAAGTGGCCATTTTTTTGGGAGAAGAAGGAGAATCAGAACCCAGAGTGCCGTTGCTGTCCCTGCAGGGGATGGAGTGCTCTAAATGTGGTGTGGCCTTTGTCGCCACGTGTGAAATATGATTTGGTGAAGGATGTCATTTGAAGGGGCCCGGTTCTGCAGTTATGACAGCCCCCGAGCACTCTCTTACAGTCTCACTGTCTTTTCCGCTGCCTCTGTATCGCTGCATCTCTCCCGCTATCTTATCTATCCTTCACACATTCTCTCACACCTTTTATCTCGCTCACTCCTTGCCTCCCAGTGGCCCTTTTATTGGGCTGCTTTAAAGCCAGATGTTCCTGTGCTGCGAGGATGGGGGTGGATGAGGGGGGGAGAAGGGGGACGGTGGCGAAGGGGAGGGGGAGGGGCAACCAAATGACTTGTAGCTTCAGAGTAGCTCATTCCCTACACAATAGACTCACTTTCTCTTCCTATTTTTTACTCCATTTTTCATATCCAACATTTTTACCTCTATTCCTTTCCCAG